CATTGAAGCGAGCTCTTTTTTGTATTTTATGTACGGATAGGGTCTCGCCAAAATGCTTGGGGCCTGCTAAATTGCTGAGGCTGGCTTTGATCCCAAGCCTGTGGGATTACAGGCGTGCACCCACTGAGCATGCTGATCTTAAGAGTCTTACTTCAAGCCTGGGTTGAAAACGTAGAAACAAATGAAAAGCCCAGCAATGAGGGAAACAGGGGATAAAGCAGCTTTTGAAGTAAAACTCATTAAGATCAGAAGGATGAGGTCAGAGGTCACCTGAGAAGAGTAGTTCAAGCCTGGGCAACATGATAATGCCAAAGAAAGAAGAGTTAAACCCTTAAACATTCCTAAATATATATATATATATATATATATCCTAAACTAGGATATTGTAGTGGGTAGGAAAGTGATGGCCCCCCAAAAGATATATCACCTGGAACCTGTGAGTGAAACCTTATTTGGAAAAAAAATCTTTACAGCTGTGTACCAGGTAAAAGACCTTGAGATAGGAGATCATCTTGGATCACCTTATACGAGACCCCTGTAGTCAGATGTTGGGGCTGGTGCCTATGGTCTCAGGCACAGGCAGAAGGATGACTTGCACCCAGAGTTTGAGGCCAGCCTCAGCAACTTAGTGAAACCCTGTCTCAAAAAAAGAAAAAGCTGGCTGGGCACGGTGGGCACTTCTGTAATACCAGCAGCTCAGAAGGCTGAGACAGGAGGATCATAAGTTCAAAGCCAGCCTCAGCAAGGGTGAGGCACTAAGCAACTCAGTGAGACTCTGTCTCTAAATAAAATACAAAAAAAAAAGCTGGGGACATGGCTCAGTGGTCGAGTGCCCCTGAGTTCAATCCCTGGTACCAACTACAACAACAACAAAAAAAGGAACAGGGGGAGGTCATGTGATGCACAGGCAGAGACTGGAGTGATCCAGGCATGCACCAAGGGACCTAGGACACTGAAGGGTCAGAAAGGTCCTCCCCAGAGCCTCAGAAAGGAGTGTAACCCCGCCAATACCTGGATTTTGTCCTTCTGACCTCTGCCCCCA